GCACTCTAACCCTACCATATTGCATTAAATGTTCATTTAATGCACTGGGTATAAATAGAAGTGTTTCTTCTCCATGCAGAGTGCATGTAACTCACTCTCTAATCCTAATTCTTACTTCAAGCATTTTCTAGCTTAAGTAAAGGATCCTCTCTACAACATTTTATTTTCTTGTATTTGCTAAGACTTTGTGTGTAACCAAAGATTGTTTAGATAGGTATTTATCACCTTATCTTTTCTCAAACAATCTTGTAAAATCTGTATTGATCTTCTTTATCAATATATATTAATTTGAAAATATTGTGTTTGTATTCATCCCCATCTTCTACAAACTGTTTTACTAATCTTGTAGACCCTCAAGGGACCTGTGTGTCCCACTTCAATGATCAATCTTCATATTAAGCTTCATAACATGGCAGATCTGGATATTGCATTAAGAACACTTTGAGAAAGTTGAAAGAGAAAGTCAATGCACTAAATCTGGTCAAACTTTATTACGTATCTTCAATCTTACAAATGAGCTCTCTCTTTTCAAATTACAAAGAACACTCCTATTTATATGGTCAAACTACTAAACAATAGTCAAAGTCAAACTCCTATAAGAAAAGTCAAACACGATGACTTTTACAATTATAGACAATATTTAACTTTCAAGACGAATACACTTTAATACTGATTTTCAGTCCTAACATTATCCCCCTTTGTATTCAGACTTGAAAGAAATTCTGCACTTTAAGTCCTGTTTGAACTTTGAAACATTAAGCACAATATGTCATCTTCAAAAGAATTCTTCAACTTGAAATCTTCATGCAATCAATTGTTGGGAAATATCTTCTAGCATTCTCCCCCTCGAATGTAGAACCGCGATGATCTTCTCTTTTGACAATGTAGAATAGTATTCAACAGATACAATGTATAAGATTTGATCTTCAAAGGATATTAAGAATTAATCTTCAGTAAACTATTGTAAAGATGATCTTCACACTCAATATCTCTCAGTCGTTGTAGCACATGAATAATCTTTCTGTAATCATCTTCAGTTGCACTTCTTCTTTTGATTCTTTTGCCATTTTTGAAGTTACTCCCTCTTGATCTTTGCATCAAATTCCCTTTAACAATGTTCGAAAATGAATATTTCATTCATTATTACATATACTCCCCCTTATGATGAAATGAGAATCATTTCATCATACATAAGATGAATGAAATTTTCCGTATAAGCCGTCAATTCATGAAAATGTAAGTAGATCTTTGCAAATCCACTTGTTTAATCTTTTCAGATTAAGGGAATGGGAAGATAACATCCAATTTCAACGTATGAAATTGTTTTCAATCTTATAAAAAGATTGGCCTGTGAGTATAACAGATATACTCAGTACAACGGATGTACTGTATATATGAGACTTTTTGATGCTCATTTCACCAGGTCTTCCATTTAATCATTGATAGCTAAAAAAAATAGCATATCTATGAATGTTTTGGTAAATTAACATATAAAATGATAAATCTGTGTAGTGTAGAAGGATAAGGCAACATATGCTTCTGTTTAAGCTCACAAAGATAAATCGTGTGGACTACACAAATTTATCAGACTCAATATGTGATCAAAAAGACTTGAAGGGGGGACATATATCCTTCTGATTTCAATATCAACTTTCTCCAAATGAGAAATTGATAGATGATGAGATGCGTGCCCCAAATGTTATTGAAACATTTATCTGTTGAGAGATAAATGAGTAGTTGGTGGGGTTNCCAGTCTCTAATCTTCAGTTTCAGTCTTCGACGTTTGCTGAAGGATCTTTGGTGTGAGTGTTGTTTTCTTGAAGTATCGTTGTCTCTGAATGAATTACAAAACAAGTTCATCAGCGATCACTGAACAAGTTCAGTGTATGATCGCTAGAACTGAAATTACAGATACATAAATACATCGAAAGGAAAAAGGGATTATCATCAAATCACTGAGAGAGAGGATCAACAATACCTTATCTTGAGCTCCTACTTCCAAGTATAACATCAATTCTTCAACTTTTAACCTATGAATTATGAATAAACTTAAGGTTTAACCTATTTGCCCCAAAGTAACAGAAATCACAAGAATTAACTATAGGCATACCTTATCTTGAGCTCCTAGTTCCAAGTATAACATCAATTCTTCAAAAACTCATAGATTTAACAAGAAATTTTTAGGTTTAGAGATGAGATTTGGTTTTCTAGCGAAAGGTAGGAGAGATCGAGATGGTTAGAGAGAGAGAAAGAAAATCTGATTTAAAAAAAAAATAACAATTTCATATTTATATTTACAATATTTACTATCGAACCCTTGATCTTAAGCTTATTTGTAATATAATCCTACCTTGGCAATTCCTTTACAATTTTGATCTTAACCAAGATTGTTTCACCCAACTTGGAACTCAAATGAATTTTATGTAAAGAACTTGGCTTAATGAACGACTCTTGAAGACTAAGGTACGAAATACTAAAGCATGATTTCACACTTGAACACAAATTGGTTTCCGTTCACGAGATTAAATTTACCAAATACGGGGTACTATATCACCTATGATCAAAGTTACTGTCTCAATATTTTTCATTTTCACTTATGAACACATTTCCTGTTTCACCTATGAATACATGATTAAACTATTATGAACACAACATTTCTCTTATGAACACATTAGTTTCATTATGAACACACGATTGAGATTATGAACATATTAGTTGACAAATTTGAAAGAGAGATAATTTCGGTTATGAAACCCCAAGGGATAAATTAATGGGACTGAATTTTGAGTATAATAGATGTTTTTTTTTAACTTTCCAAGAATGCCCTTATTCACCTAAGTTTACACTAGTCTATAACGCATGTGTTTCCGGTATATTATAAGGATGTTATTGTGTCTTTTCAACCATAGATCAAAAAAATTGAAGGATATGATGGGTTAACAAAGTTAACACCAATAACTTGGTTAACAAAAGAACAAGCCCCCATATACATAAATAGCCAAATATTATTTTGAGAAATAATAAATATTTAAGAAGTAAAGAAGGGATCGTAGCTCTCCGTATAATTAAGATCGAATTTAACTTATAATATCTTTCTTTCTTTCTTTTTATTTTGTTTCTAGATTCGAGGAGGGAGGGACCGTCAAAATAATTTATTTAAGGGTAAAATAAGTAAAAACAAATAAAATACAAAGAAAATCCTAAAAGAAGAAAGTGGATAAGAGGAAGTTTCTCTTGCACACTTGGATCCGACTCTTCTTTGCCTTTACCCCTTCTTCTCAATCTGCTTTCTTTGATTTTTGCATCAGGTTAATCATGGCTTCTTTTGCTTTCTAATCTTCTGATTATGTGACTTATAAAGTTCCATTTTGAACATCTTTTCAGTGCAGTAAAGGAAGAAGTTGACGATCTGCGGTCCGGATTCCATTTTTTCAAATAACTGTCTGGTAAAATTTGGATCTCCTTTATTACGTTTGTATAATTTAGGATTAGATTTGTATGATTATTCAGTTTAAACACTTGTTTGCGTCAATTTCATAACCTTAAATAATTATAGTAACTTTTAAGAGCCTGGAATTTTCATCAAAGTTCTAAGTATCTTATTGAACTTGAAAAATGGATGTAGAAATTGGGGAATTGCAAAAGAGACTAGAATCCTCCATGAGTTAAATGGCCTTCCAAAAATCTGATGTGTGAATCATTGCCTACATGGATATGATAGGATTCTACATGGTCTCTTTAATTCATCCTATGTGCTTCATGTCGTGTATATGGTTAAAAGACTGTATATCTCTTCTCTTTAACTATGACATGAAAATTAGAGAGAGCAAAATCAATATGGAGGTAAACTAGTGTGAGGTTGACCAATTTGGTGGAAGCTTGGAACTATTCTTTTCAGTGATAGCCACAAATCAGGACAAGATTTCACAGCTTATACGCTCTGCAAACCAGAGATAGGGGTTTTAAATGGAAGCTTTCATTGATGTGCCGAAATCATACATTAACAAATGGGATCCCTTATCCATTTTTCTCCACATCGACAATAATTCGGTAACATTTATGTGTTTGGTAACCATTTAGCATTTAGGGTTTCATAATCCATTGTTTTAGAAACTAATTGCTTTTATTTCATCAACTTGCCACTTGTATTCATTCAAATAGGAATATCTCTAGTTTAGCAATTCACCATGTTTATAGCATCGATGAAGTAGAAGGGTTCATTTGTCTATGAAATGTCGCTCGTGTGGTCTTTAATGGGATGCATTACAGGCTTCATGCCACTGGTTTCCAAGAAGGTTTTAAGTTTATAAAACCAGAGATTGAGGTTAGTCAGTTGATCAAAGACGGATCACAAATGTTAGGCGAAAGTGAGATGTATATGGACTATTTCAAGATGATCCATTCAAGAAATTTGAATCAACGAAAAGAGGTTGATAGCAATTTATTTTCACCCCCACCTGTTTAGAGTAACCAACGACCATAAGAGGCTAGTAGCAGCTTGTTTCATTCCATTATCAAATATGTTGGACATGTTTGTTAAATGTGGAAAATGTTCCACTACAGCCTTGGTTAAACCAGTCTGTTCATAGATAGGCAGAATAACTAGATATGCATCAATATAGAAGCGATGGTCATCCTAAAAATGGCATCACTAATGGAAATCTTGACACCTCTTAAAGAAACTTCAAGTCCTCAGAGACTGTTTGCCTCATGGACGTAGTATGAAATTATATTTACATGATGAAGACACATGTGCTAGGATTTACGATTTGGAACTCTTGTAACCTTCATATTGATTAAGCTTCCACCTTTATTAGATAAAAATTGCCAATCAATTTAACTCGCAGCAGGAGTTTTAATTGAAATTTTCAGCAAGCCATTGTGACAGGACTGGAAGAAATATTTTACAATAAACAAAAGTAGCAGTAAATGTGCATTATGACAAATTTGGGATTAAATAAGAGGGGATTAGTAGAAACATCATTGATAACTGAGTTAAAGGTTGAAGCACCTCTACCTGATGATGAAAATCACATATAGAGATTCCATATACTGGTTGTTCAACCTCATTGCACCTTTTTGACAAGTGATCAAATGCTAGCTACATCATCAATCTTCTCATCAGTAAACTAATGTTGTGCATAAGTGTTATATAATCATTAATCAAAATGTTCACCATCTCATCTCCAAAACTGGGGTAGTCATTTTTAGGCCAACCACAGCAACATCATCATCGCCAATCTGACCATCTTATGCATATACCATAACAAGTCATTTCAAAATGGTTTAAATAAATCTCATCTCCCCGAGACTTCTGCAAATGCATGTTTGATCAATTGACTAATCGATTGGAAGGGAGAGGATAGGCGAATACCTGCAATTTTTGGGTGTACCCATTTATTCTGTCCTAACACCAAAAAACCCCTCTAAAGAGATAAATAATGGATAATGAGACGATGTGTATATCTTACATACAAAACACAACACTGAATTTTAAAAACACAATATCCAGATTTGTGAAGTCTAAATAATGAAAAATCTGTCTCTCTTTTTCTGTCTAATTTTTCACCAAATCAACTAACCCTACATGAGTTCACCCCTTTTTCCTCTTGATCTCTCTTAAGAAATAATGTGTAATTACTTATATGCATCACTTGCATTTGATTCTTGGAGCTCATGAATGGAACCGTTAACTCAAGGGGGTAGCCATGCTTGTCACTATGGAAGTTCTCATTTTTTACTTGCCCTTTTTTAGTTTGAAGCAAAAATCTATATTTTGGGTGGAAGTTCCTATCTTTTTAAACCTTTTTCGTTAAAAATCAAAATATGGCATTTTAATTCCAAGTGATTGGCTTTGTCAGTGCTAGATTAGACTTTTGAGAGCATGCATAAAGCCTTATGGCAGAGTTATTTTGAGCAGAAATATATGTAAAAGTGATGATCATTCCAGTCTCAGTTTAGAGACACTATGGCTTTTATAGTCACAAGTTCCACTTCTCAAATCCAAACTTGTGTTGGAGAACAAGAAGAAAGTGTTCAGCCAAATTTGCTTCTACTAGATGTGCATTGGACATAGGTAGAAATCTTTTCTTGACTTATTCTATGCCATGTAAGGGTTCTTATCTGGAGCGGGTCAGAAGATAGTGACATGTCCGTATTAAATGTGTTTTTTGGCATAAAACAATCATCCAAGAAATCTGTAATGCATAAATCCATTATTCATTCTGGAGATCTCTAAATTGCCAGTAAAGATGGGGTATAACTTATGAGGATCTTCTGATGTTAGTAACATATTGCATCTGTTGTCTATAGAATCTTGCTTTGCATTTGTATAGTGATGAGGTGAAGTTGTAGGTAATCGAGCTGCCTCTTGTGCTACAATTAACCTTTTTACCTGTAACCAAAATTAGAACAAAGATGACACCTCTTTCTGGTAGGAATACCATGTAATGATTACGAACGCACAAGTTGGTTTGATGGGGAAGGAAAAGAGTTGAATTTTTTTACGTTTTGTATTTGAGCTTTGCTTGGATAACCTTCATAGAAATGACTCGTGAAGATTTAGCAAAATTGTATATGGCTGGATATATGGGTTGCCCATGCATGATGGAAATCATGAAGCACTGTCTTGTTGAATCACATATGAATAATATCTGGTATTGCAGCTTTCATGTGGCAACTGTTCATCTGTAAAGCATTTAAAATTTGTTCTAGATTGATGTTCTAAAAGCTTTTAGTTGAATCAAACTAGCATATTTCAAATGCTCTTCATCAAATGACACACGCAAGCTCAATTTTTATCTATAAATCTACCAAACACGTAATTTATTTATATGTTCAGTGACAAAATGAACATCAATTCCAACTAGTTTACCACACAAAGCTAATTTTATCAGCAAGTGGTGATTTATATATCAATAAGTTGTTTTAGAATTCGTTTGTGGGAAGTCCATATTGGAGTTCTGATCTCTCTGTTTCACCTACTGGACATTGGGATGAAATTTGAAGTCTAATTTCAAATGAATTTAGTTGATAATATTTCCTACCGGACATTGGGATGAAATTTGACCCTTTTTGGGTTTTTGAAGTCTTAAACTTCAAATGAAATTAGTTAGTACTTCAGCATACCTTCTATTGTGCTTCTGCTGCACATGCTGCTTCTTTTCTTTCATTCTTTTACATCATTGTTTATGGCTTATCCTTATATCCCATTGTGTATGATCTGATCATTTTCGTATATGAATGTTCTGTTTGTTATCCTTGCAGTCCTAACTTATGGACATGAATGGCACCATAACTGTCGAACCTTGGGATCAGCCACGGAGGTGTGTGCTGTGTCATAGAATCCTTTCATCTGAGATCGAGGTTGAAGCTACAAGTATATGTGGGGATTGTAAGTTTCTGTTTCTGGAAGATAGTGACATTCAGCATAACACAAGACAAACAAGGTACAACAACAATTCAGAATCTATTGAAAATATGCAATTTCCAGATATGACGAATCTGGTTACGGTCTCTGAGCATGGGAATCAATCAAGACGGTGGAGGAGAGTTTTGTCTGATACAGAAAGTGATGGCTTTGATTCAGATGTTTCTGTTGAAGTTGATAGTGATATGCCTGCTCATCCTCATTCAGATGATGCAAGTCTGAACCAGTCGAACTCAGACGATGACAATGAATTCGAAGAAGTTGAAAACACAGTCGGAAGTTTGGTGGGCAGAGTACAGCTACGTAGATCGTTGGCATCCAATGGGCGGAATCTCCAAGTCGATTGGCTTAATGAGATTCTTTCTCCTGAAGCTGAAAACTTAGAAAGATCACGTTATGTAGGGAATGCTGGAGACTATCTTGATGCAAGAGGGTTTGAACAACTGCTGGAGCGTCTAGCGGAGACGGATGGTTCACGGCGAGGAGCACCGCCTGCGGCTGTTTCGTTTGTGAAGAATTTGGAGCGGGTGGTGGTGGATGAGGATGAGGGTTTGGTGTGTGTGATATGTAAGGATAGTGTCTGTGTTGGTAGTGTAGTGAACCGGCTTCCTTGTCTTCATGTGTACCATCCTTCATGCATCATGCCATGGTTAAATGCACGGAATACATGTCCGCTTTGTCGATACGAGCTCCCAACAGATGAAAGGGAGTGTGAGAGGAGGATGAGGAGGAGAAGCAGAAGCCAGCAGGTGGAAATGGAAGAGGAGGTGGGTGAGGATGCATCATCAGGTGGCGGAGGAAGGTGGTGGGTTGTGGCGGCACCGTTAGCGACCATGATGGCTATTGGTTTTGTGGTGTGGTTGGGGGGAGGAGTCAACAGAAACAGGAGATGGTGGTGTGTCTTGTAGATTTATTGCAGAGGATGGATTGAATTTTCTGTTCTTTTCTTTTTTTACTAGCTAGGTGGAAAGAGAAATAGGGGTATGTATGTATGTATGTATGTATGCATGTATGTATGTATGTATGTATGATTATTATTATCAAGTCATGTGATGGTTTTTGTACATGAAATGGATATTTTTGGTTTTTCTTGAAATCCAATGGTTGGTTTCCCATCTCATTTTCCATGATTCAATTCTCAATCTTTTCTCCAAAACTAATCCAATTTTTGAAGAAGAATCATTATATAGAGTAAATTATAAATTTCGTTAATATCGTCTTTTTACAATTTCCTTATTTGAAATTATATTTATTATATTTAACATTATATATAATATCAATAAAACATTAATCGTCCCTGTCAGACACCACCCCTACCCCGGGTTCTAACTCTTTAGCCAAGCTAACCCGCAATCTCCACCCATCCCTATCTGGCGATGGCGAATCCCTCCAGCCGTCCTCCCGTTGACAACCATCTCCTACAACATCGTTGTGTCTCTCCATTCTTGAACCTCCCCATTCTTAAAGTTGGGTCTCTAGACCTCCATTCTTGTACCCCACATTTGTTCCTTTTTACCCCCAAAACATGGGTTTCAATATATGTTTTTGTTCCCAGGACATGGATTTCAAGATTTATTTATTTTCCTAGAACATGGGGATCAAGTGAAGCAAACACTCTTGACGAAAGTCCTTCATTTTCTCCTTCAGTGGTAATTGCGGTGAGTACGCACCTGATGGCCCCTCCTATCTTTTCCGATCAAACACTCTAGCATCCTCACAACCAGCTTTCTTAACAAGCAGGCACGACGACACATCTAGATATTCCAGCCACCTATAACTCTATGCTTCCAAAGCCATTCGTATTTCCGAAACTGTTATCTTTGGACAATTACACACTTTCATCAAAAATAGCTCAAGTCCCTCAAATGCATCATCTCGATCCGTCACCTCCACACAACATCCAATAGAGAAAAAAAATGGTGAAAATGATAATGAATTGATTTGTAGATATCACATGTGAAATTTGCTGAAAAATGTGAATTTTTTTTATCAGAAGTACATCTTGGAAATTTCTTTACATAAACCTTGATAAAAGAATTATGGATTAATTAAAAATAAAAATAGATAAATTTAAAAGATGTAATGAGATTTTTAAGGATTTATCCAATTCAAAATGATAATTATCCTAATTTCTAAAATTATTTCATTTTTTATTTGCGATATTAATTAATGGATTATGTAGTCCATATTCCTTCCCGCCTTCTAACAAATTGACCACCTTCTCGTATCAATCTGCTTGAATATAATATATATATATATATATATATGTGTGTGTGTGCGTGTGCGTGCGTGCGTTAAGAACCGTGTGAGAAATGTAAGAATGAATCTGGACCCTTGATCACCTTTAATCTAAAGTGAATCACGCTTGATACGATATTGATCCGGTGCATCTCATTCGAATGTGCATCGAAGGGTGGAGATCCCTAACCGTGTGTGTGTGTGCGCGTGCGCGTGCGGGTGTGTGTGTGGGTGGGTGTGGGTGTGTGTGTGTGTGTTCCGGTGAGAATGACAGTTAAGGTAAAAACGTAAGAAGGAAACTCCACCCTTGGATGAACATTAGGATGAGATGCACCGAAATGAGATGCATCGAGATGCACCAGATCAATTCACGTATCAAGTACGATTCATTTGTGAGTTTGAGATTAAAGTTGATCAAAGTCCAAATCCCTTCTTACGCTTCTAATCATAACTCTCATTTTCACACGATACTTCACCTAGATATATAGAGGTAGTTTACTTTGCAAACCAAGTCGTTTGTACAAACCGTACAAACCATCCTCATATGTTGATTTCATTGTTTAACTTAATGAATTTGTTTCATGAAATTGTTTAATCTGATTAAAATTGTTTCATATAATTCTTTTCTTAATGAAATCATTTCATACATTTTTGTTTTTATGTAAACATGAAGTTGTTTAATTTATTTCCCATTTTGATTAAATTTGTTTTCTAAAATTAATATAATGAAGATGATAATGCTCATAATTAATGCCCTTAATGAAGGGATTAAATGCAAACCTCCCATTTGTACAAACTATGAAAACCTCATTCAACCAATCATACTTTTTCTTTTTCTTTTTCACTTTTTTTATTACGAAAGTTGATTAGTTATTTTTATTGTGTAGGGCGTTAATTATGGACATTATCATCTTCATTATAATAATTTTAGAAACAAATTTCATCAGAATGAGAAATACAAGAAACAATTTCATTTTTACATAGAAACAAAAATATATGAAACAATTTCATCAGATTAAATAGTTTCATTAAATTAAAGAATGAAATTGACGGATGGGGATGATTTGTACGGTTTGGACAAATGACTTGGTTTGCATTTGATCCCTCCGTAAATATATAGGCAAAGAATCGTGTGAGAAAGAGCTTTAACGTAAGAAATGTAAGAAGGGATCTGGACCTTTGATCACCTTTAATCTCAAACCCACCCATGAATCACGCTTGGTACGGGGATTGATCCAGTGCATCTCAATGCATCTCATCCTAATGTGCATTCAAGGTAAAGATCCCTTTTCAATTTCTCACTTTAACTCTCATTCTCACCAAACCCAATATGTAAGGGGAATTCAAGGAAGAGCTGGTTAGTTTGTGATAACTATGAGATCTAATCTCATCCACACAATTTAATAATCAATGGCTAAAAAAAGAAAAATGTATTAATTAAATTTCAAAAGAAACGGCGAATCAATTTATCCGATCATGTAATTATATCAATTTATGAATCATGATCGTCTATTTTGGGCGCATTTCAAGAATCATATAATCATATCAATTTATCCGATTAGTGCAAAATTATGAAGAAATTTCACCCAAATATGCTTCTCAACATCTTTATTGGATATAACACTGAAGTGATATAAAGGATTCGAATTATAAAAACTCTAGAAATTGATGTTGCATACAACGAAAGCACGTGAATCATAATAATGGAGGAAAACAAAGGAGAAAGTATTAAAGGTTTTTTCTTATTTATTTCACAATGAACCACACTGTGCGTATGATTTCTGTCATGAATGCATAATCAGGAAGAAGGAGTTACAAGTTTAAAGCCAATAAAAGCTTTACTTTCTCCAACAAAGCAGATGAAGCCAATGATGTCAACTACGAGGGTGAATATGGCAGGGACAGAACACCGATTGAAACAACAGGTATCACATTATTCTTTATTTGGACCAAAATATAGGTATCTTCGAGAATGTAAAACGGTTTTGATTGTTTTTTTGTGTTCGTAAGCGTTTGGGTACGCATTCTTGTATATGATACGTCATAAATTGGTACATTGTGATTTCACATTGTGTGGTACGCTATAATCAACATAAAATGTGGTTCACTATAGTGGCCAAAACCGGGGCAGCATATGTCACATATAGCATACATTGTGGTCTCCTCATACATGTAACATAGTGGTTTGAAGACTTCTATTGAACCAAATACCTCATGTGTGGTTTGGTGACTTTTTATTGAACAAAACTACTCATATATGGTACATTGTGGTCTTCGTGATGTATTGGATTTTTTGTTGTTGTTTGTAGGCTTTTTTTTATCGAATATGATACCATATTATCAGTTTCATCAAAACAATTATGAAGATGCGATACCTAGAGGATATCGGGTGTTAAGGATGCGAGGACCTAGATTGTCGGGTCTTAAGCATGCGAGGACCTAGGTTGTCCGGTTTTAAGCATGCGAGGAACCAAGATTGACGAATCTCAAGGATGCGAGGAACCAAAGTTGTCAAATCTAAAGGATGCGAGGAACCAAGGTTGTCGAATCATAAGGATGCGAGGACTTGAGGTTGTCGGGTCTTTATAATGCGATAACAATGACTTATCACATGAAACAGATGCAATAACTAAGAATAATGCAATGCGACAACTATGAAGATCTGTAATTTTTTTCAACAGATTTTGATATTTCACTTACAAACAATTCAGACCCTTTCAATTATGGATATGTAGGATCGAAAATCAAAGCTAGTTAACTTTAATTCTCAAGAAACTACCCAAAATTGAATAAAAGAATATCAAAATTGGTGGGAGGTGAAAGAAAACAGAGGGGGAAAGAGAAGAAACAAACCTGGGTAGTGGTTACTCGATAGAGGTGTGCAGGACATCGACGGTTATGGATGGTTCTCGGAGGTGAGTCATCGATGGTGGGGAGGTAAACAGGTACAGAGATTGACAATGGTCATCACCAGCGGGGGAGTGGAAGCTAGAAGATGTGTGTGGCTATATATAATACAGTATACAATTAGTATATTATAATATAATATGAAATATATTATTTTTTAATTTAAAATGAGATAAAGCATAAGATGACCTATTTACTCCTAAGCTAACGAATATTTTTTAACGGCGTCAGGGACAATGACCTAACTTGTAGCAAAATGCAAACCATAAGGACATCTAGTGTACTTATTTTGAAATAGGGACCATATCTAATTCTGAGCTAACCACAGGGACCAACGGTGAACTTTACTCTAAATCATAGGAACGAAAATGGAAATGGATTGCAAATAGGGACTAAATTGCATTTTCAAAACCACAACGAAATCCGAAATTTGTAACAAACCACGGGGACGGAAAAAGTAATTTATTCTTAAATCAAAGTAGAAAAAATTGGATAATTTAGATTGTGGATTCTTGAAATGAACATAAGTTAAGCTCTCCAAATTTGTTCTAGATGTTTTGTCAAATTATATTTTCAAGTGACAAAAATCTGTCATTTATAGACAAAAGTTTTATGTTCGAACTTCATGTGATGTTTGCATGTGACTCCATTTGACGTTCACATTGATCATTTTTTTCTGAAAAATTTCAAATCATTTAAAAAGTTGGATGATGACTATATTAAAAACTCTACACCTTTTATATGTTAGACTAATTTATGAAATTTAGGCACGGGAGAAGTAAGTACCAAAGTCAAGCAAAAACAATTATATAAAACATGATTTTTGAAACCGACACATTAGAAAATAATATATATGGAAATCTTGTAAGTAACGTCTATAAGGTGAGAGACAAGATGGCTTTCTATAAAATAAGAATCAAGAATGGTTAGTTGGTTGGTTTAAAATAAATAATATAATATGGGGATTCTAAAGTTGATCCATTCAACAATACATAAAGTTTATTTTGCGAAAACTAATATATTTTTTAAAATACTTTTGAAAATGTTTGTCTCCTCTTTTTAAAATGATTTTTGAATAAAAAAGAATACATTTTATAATCACACACTATATGTTAAGAAAACATATAAAAAAAATATTTATTTTGATTCAGTTTAAATTTTATATCACTCGAGATCCAGTTGAAATTCGAATGACGAAATAGTGGCATTCTTTAACATAATTTGGTCTTTGAATATTGAGTCAATTCACATCCCAATGCATTCTTTATTTTCTCAAATTAGCACAAGTTCCAAGCAATACGACATGTTTCTTTAGACAAAAATAGTACTTGATTTTGAAATATCATCATTATGCACATCAAGTAAATTTATTATATCATAATACAAGTTGAACTTATAAGCATCAAAATATCGAGATTTAACAATCCAATAAACCATTTAAAATTAAATCTAACACGCTTGCATCATCATTTATTATTTTTGCATTTAATTAGAATAAAAAAGAGTAAACTCCAATTTTGGTCCATGTGGTTTCTCAGAAGTAACACTTTTCGTCTCTGCAGTTTGGCCATTGTGGTTTAAAAAACAACTAGTTTGGTCCCTCCCTATAACGATCGTTAAAAAAAATTGTTGGTGAGGGGGCATTTTAGTCTTTCTCAGTTTAACCAAGAATAAAATTTTGAGCTTCTGGAGGAATGAGCCCATTATATTATAGAAAACCAAACAGTTTCTTTTATTTTCATTTCCATTGATTACTGCTTAATACCTCTAACCAAACACCCCCTTAGATTTAATTCTTATTGATATGAATATCAAGAATTACACAAAGAAAACAAAATTGTTGTGGAATTGAAAAGATTAACAAACCAGTTCTAACAATCTTACACTAAGAGGAACTAGAACAAAACTTTTAACACAAAGAGAAGTTATGTTGCTGTTTGAAGGGCTGCCGATTTGTGCTTGATCTCGTAGAGTTCTTTTTAAAGCGTAACCTTGCATGGAATGGAGCAACCACTCTGTCCTTTATACTTCCTCACGCATTAAATACATGGGGACACTTGCCAAAAAGGGATAAGAAGATAGAGTTGACTTAGGATACAATAGAGAAGTCCTTGTCATCGTACACATGAAAAAGACTCGTCTCTGAAACTCTTTTCTTATGAATCCTTCTATTGTCACATCAATCAGAAGAAGACAAACATACTTTCCAGGTGTTTCAGAGAATGTCTTTTTCAAGTACAAGGTTGGTGAAATCTTTGTCAGAGAAGTCGTTGCAAGGAGATCTTTAAGTTGACCAGTCGAAGATTACCTTATGTTGTTCGACAGCTATGAAGATCGGCAGATGAGATAGAAAGGAAATTTTGGTGTAAATTCGAGAGCTATGTCTTCTGTTCCACATCGGCAAACACACTTCCTCTTGAAATCGGCTAGTCTTCGATTCGCCGAACATCTTAAGCAAAACCAAACTTATACACAGAACCATTATATTTACAATGATCAGATATACCTAGAGTATAAAGATAGATTGAGAGATCATCAACAAATCATCGACGACCCAACAATATATTAATTAAATAATTATTATAATATACATTTATATTTATACATACATATATACACACACACATGTAATATACATCAAAAGAAGGTATACATCTCATATTTCCAATTCCTTATGGCCTCCCGCTGCATATAACTGATGTCCCTTGTCACTCAGGCAACAACCGTCTCACCCATCCTCTTTTCCAGTCGACACCATTATTCGACTCCTCCTTTCTCACGGGCAAACCCTTCTCACTCTAGCGACCACCTTCTCATCCATCCTACTTCTCAATGATCGACGAACCACATGACCCCATCCCAGTAAACACTCAATGCCCCTCTACATATATCTCTTTAAATTACATATCTAATATAAAAGTTCGCTTACAACCTCCCTCCATATCGATCTCTCTCTGTGTAAATCGATCACCCACATCGATTTCTCTATGTAAATGGATTAGACTGTGCAAATCAATCTCGAAGACAAGGAATCATAATGAACAAAACTTTTTGGTTCATTCAAACTTGTATAAAACCCAATTTTGTCTTCTTTGATGTACTGTCTGGCCCTTTATTGTTCATTTTCCGTAAATTACTTACCTCATCATCTTCTTTAGGGTTTGATTTTGCAAAAGTTCTTGTTTTGTGGTTTTGATTTAGGGTTTTGATTCAAAATACTTAGTTGTGCACAACAATTAGATGATAGTGAATTCGATTTATTGTTATTCATCTTGGTTCTATTTGTGTTTACCATGTTGAAATTTGCAATAAGATACAATTAGGTTTTGACTTTGATTTGAGTTTCTTGATGTTCATGTGAAATTATTTAGGATTCATGGTGTTCAGGAAGAAGAAAGGCAAAAAGACATGTTTAGCACGATGGTTCTGTTTCAATGGTGGTACAGAAGGGGTGCAAAAATTATTCATCACATGGGTAGTCGGGGAAGGGGTTCACGACTTTGTAAAAAAGAAAGGAATAGTTGACAAACAAAATCTCCTCGATTTCTTAGAGCTGTAACACATTATAAGTGTTCCTCAACCATGGAAACGAATTTGCAAGCCTCAACTCAAGGAAAAGAATCTGGAAACACATCTGGAAGCCTTCTATAGTTTCTTCAACGAACCCCAGATTTGATCAGAAATTTTCTGTCTGAGATGGCTCAGTGGTGCAAGGATGAAGTATGTAGGCAATTTGAGATTAGTGGTCGGTGTTGTGGGGTTCGTTGGAGATGGAATATGGAGGAAGAGGGGTGGGTGTTTGATATTGGTGACGACTGTCGAACAAGAGGCAAGACACCTGAGTTTCATCAGAGAAACAGCAGAGATGTTTGTTTTATGGAAAGGGGGATTCTTGTGTTTACAAATATTTGTATATATAGTATATAAATCAGAAAATATGAAAAGGTCTAAAAAACCTCTCGTTTAACGGGATTTTTAAACGACTGTTAGAAAGAAGGATCAAATCCGATCATTTTTTCAAACCAAGATGTCTAAACTGTAATTTCAAAATTATGGAGATGAAAAGTGTTACTTTTAAGAAACCATAGAGTCCAAATGTAGTTTACTCATAAAAAAACAATGTTGTAAAATTTCAAACTTTGATGATATCTTTTTAACTTTTAACCCAAAGTTCCTTTTAAAAAAATAAAGCTTTTAACCCAAAGTTACACCATCAAACATGTATTTAAAGAGCGCAAGGGACCATGGTCCATGGCAACGTGTCAGAGGATCTTGATTCAGAAGTGTAAGCAGAAGCAGAGGAGCCTTCCCCCCCAACTCACCAAACCCCGTCTTGGTGCACTCTCTCATTCTTAGGGTTTCTAATTTCCATTTACTGCTTATAAAACCATTTATTTCTTCTATACCTCCTCCTCCTACTCTGTAGCCGCCGGCGATCCATCAAACCGCCGTTCGTTGTTTCTGCTTAGATCCATTCAATCGACACTTTAAAGGTGATCGATTTTATTCGTTAGATCTCAGTACTTTCTTGTTTCCTTTTGATGATCATAAAAACACGTATACATGCAATATCCGAATCTGGGGTTCATTCAGTTGTTTGTGTGTGTGTGAGAGAGAGAGGAGAGCTAGATTATTCATTCATTCATTGATCGAATCTAGTGTATCTGTTTTGGAGATCGTTATATAATTCTTCATGTTGTGTGATTAATTGGAATCTGTTAATATGTTTCTTAGATCTATAAATCACGTAGTATTTTTTTTTTGCATTTTGATGTGTATCTGCGTTTGTTTTGATATCAGGTTTATTATCGTGTGGGAGAACTGGTCGCTTCTCTCTTGAAACACTTGTTTTGTTTGCAAGATGGCTTCTGTTGCTCAGCTTCATTATTCTCCTCTTGCCGAAAACAATCGTCATCTGAATCCTGCTAGGCACATTCCTAGCTTCCAATTACCAAATTTTACCTGCAAAAAACTTGTCTTAAACTCCTCTCAGAATTTCCCCTGTTCATCTTTCCGATCAAGGCCGATTAACCCTGATTTACTATCTAATCAACAACCTAATACCTGTGCTGGTGGTGGTGGAGGTGGCAGTGGTGTAGGCCATGGCAGTGGTGGTGGAGGTGATGGTGGCAGTAGCGATTGGAATGGAGGTGGAAAATCCGATGACTCATCTTCCCTCGACAGTTTCGGCCCAATTGGTGCTTTTCTTAGTGGTTGGAGATCACGGGTTGCTGCTGATCCCCAATTCCCATTCAAAGTTCTCATGGAGGAAGTTGTGGGTGTGAGTGCATGTGTGCTCGGCGACATGGCTTCTCGTCCAAATTTTGGTCTAAACGAGCTTGATTTTGTGTTCTCCACACTTGTCGTAGGATCCATCATGAATTTCACCCTTATGTATCTATTAGCAACCACAATGACATCTGCATCAGCAACCCTTCCTTTCATTTTCGCCAATTCACCCACAAGTCACATGTTTGAGCCGGGTGCCTATAGCCTCATGAACCGGGTAGGGACCTTTGTGTATAAAGGAACAGTTTTTGCAGCCGTGGGGTTTGCAGCTGGTTTAGTTGGAACCGCTTTATCAAACGGATTGATTAAAATGAGGAAAAAGATGGATCCAAGTTTTGAGTCACCAAACAAGCCTCCACCCACGGTTTTGAATGCCTTCACTTGGGCGATTCATATGGGTTTGAGCAGCAATTTCAGGTACCAAACTCTGAACGGGATTGAATTCGTACTGGCAAAGGGGCTTCCACCATTGGCTTTCAAGAGCTCGGTGGTTGGGTTGAGATTAGTGAACAATGTGTTGGGTGGAATGTCGTTTGTGATATTGGCGAGGATGACTGGATCGCAAAGCTCTGGCGAAGAGAAGAAGATTGGTGATGAAGAAGTTTCAGAGGAGAAGATGAAGTTGCTGAATGAAATTCCATCCAAGTGAGTTGCATTTCATGTTTATCCATCTAACATAATAAAACAAGATTAGGGGTTTTGTGATGGTGATGATGTAATTGTAGTTTGCAATGGTAAGAGTGGATGTAGAATAAGCTTTTATGTATACATTGTGCTTCCGTTAAGTCTTCTTGTGTGATATCACTTGAGTAGCTTTGTGATGCAATTCACACAAAAAAAGTGTTCTTATTGGACTCTTTTTGGGTCTAAATCTAAGAGCATGTTTGTTAGCAGCTTAACGAGTTTAATGGATTCACAACTTATTCGGTCAGTTATACATGACTGTTTGGTAATGGCTTAATGATAGAGAAAGTGATTTATTCAGTAAGCTTTTAGGGGGAAGTAGGGGCTTTTTGGTTGGTTTACCATTAAGTCCTGTATGGATAAAACCGCACGTGTGAATTAATTTGTTTGTCTAGATTGAGAAGGTTTTTGTTTGGGATAACTTTTTCATAGATGGAAAGAACTAGTTTTTTAATTGGGAAGGATATGTTTGCATAAAATTTGAATTTTTGCATAAAGCTTCTCGTAGAAACTTATTGAAAAAACCACTTTCTACAACGTCAAGCCACTACCAATAAGTCATATGTAGCTGATCGAATAAGCTATGAGTCCCTTTAAGTTGCTAATAAACAGGCCCTGAATATCGTTTGTATATAAATTTTAACAATGTTTTTTTAGGTATCAGTATGTGTATATTGTGTTCACATAAGGTTCATCGGAATAAGATTTGTTGGAATAAAGTTCCTCGGAGAGAGGAGAGATGAGATTTTTAAAATCTCTAAAATGTACTTAATTAATATTTTAAGTTAAAATTACTATAATTATTAATTTTCTAATTTAACCTTTTATTTATGGTTGATATTGGATATCTCGATTATCACAAATTACTAAGTTCTCTTCTCAACAGCTATATATATATATATATATATATATATATAATTTGAATTAGGGCAAAATGCACTTCATAAATTTTTTTATTGTAGCCATTTTACTTTCAATATTACTTATTACAACAATGTACTTTTAAGTTATTGTTTATTAGTGCATTATACTTTAAATTTTTTACTTATTATAGTATTGAGTAACTTTTTGATTTAAATTTACTTATTATACCAGGTTTCTATGCCAACTCACTTCCACGTAGGTTGTCCACATGTACTATATTGTTAAAGTGACATTTCTTATTATATCATTGTATTTTCAAAATTATTTTATTATAATGATCAATTTCTATCACAATGTTGTATTTTTAGTTTTAACATTTTATTATTTATACATTGTATATTTTATCAAACATGTTACCTAAATTAGTATATGTTTATAATCCTGAATTTCAAATTGAAATTCAGTCTCCCAAAATCAAGATTATAGTAACTGGTAACCTCTTGATTTGAATTAAGATGACATGACACAAGTTACCAAGTTTTCATGTCATGTCATTATCCATATGAGATATCCACAGGTAAAGTTTTGCTTTCGTGACATTTCTTATTACAACATTATACTCTGAATTTTTTTTTACATATTATTTACTAAATATGTTAAATGAATTAAGAAATTTCTAAATTATTCGTTAATATACCAATATTAAAAAGATTACAAAAGGATAATTTATCTTGCTAACATTTTAAAAAATGTATTCTTTGAAAAAATAAAATTAGGTTTCGTTTATTTTATTAAAAAATATTTTTTATCTTTTAAAAAATATATTATACTTGTTTAAAAAAAATTACTTGACATATAAATATATCAAATTAATTAATTTTTTTGAATTATTTATTAATATAACAATATTAAGAAAAATTGTAGAGCACAATTTATTCGCTAAGGGGGTGTTTGGTTCACATAATGGAATTTGATGGAATTGGAATCCATCAAAGGAATTTGACTTTGAAGGAATTGGAATGGAATTTAATGGAATTTGACCATGCATTTGGTTGGTAGGAATTGGAATGAAATCTCTCAATAGAATTGGAACAATCGTCTTTGTTTGAACCATCCCACATATCGCCCCACCCACACCCTACCAACCATTATGTCACTACTGTCGTCATCACATCTATCACCCC